TGTTCGTAAGGGGATGATGATGAGGTTTGTAGCGAAGGCTGAATATGCTTAAGCCATTTACAAAATACGGTAAAAATATGAATATAGGCATTTTATTTCTGTCTTAAGGGGTAGTAAACATCTTGGGGGCTTTAATTTAACATTCCAAATAAGTGTTGATTGCACTATTGTAATAGAATAATAGGATTTTGTTTTCACTTTGCAATTATGTGCCCACGGGTAGTGGGAAAGAATGCTTCATTTATAGCAAGGAAGTGCGTCAACCGACGCAAAAACACAAACATGAACACCTATTGTTTAATTCCACATGCACAGATTTAATTAAAGCACTCTTAAAAACTAAGCAGCAGATGCCAAGATCCACAGTTTGGTTCGAGCACCAAAAGGTTATGCATCGTACTTTTCTCACAATGCAACCAGTGGCTTCCTTTCATGAAACTGAAGCCGGATCTCATTTAGAAATTTGTGGTCTCTAATAATTACATTTTAGTTGAGCAACGCAGCATTGGAGAGTTGAGTCATGTTTGTCTTTTCGGGTCATCAGCATTTAAATGTTTCTTCTGGGTGGGTCATGGCCGGCATCTTGCACGCACGCGCACGCACGCACGCACGCACGCACGCACGCACGCACACACACACACACACACACACACTTATGTTCGACTGGCATCCCTCTGAAGGGAATGGACACTCATGAAAGCCACATCCTGGCCACCATGAAAACCCAGGAGTTCTACTGAGAAGCACAAAGAAGGAACTGTCAACTCGGTCCAAACCCGGTGACATGGGAACCATGAGCTCACAAGCGAGAGCTGCCACACACTCAGAGGATGCCAGATCTACCAGCCTCGGCCTCCAGCTCAGACTTGTTAAAAACCAAAAACGTTGGTGTGTTTGGACAGCAACACATCTGAAGACTTGACACAAGTGATGATTTGGCCAAAACCCGATACATCTTAGGACAAGAATGTGGACACACATTGATGAGGAGACACAGCCAACATGGAGAAATGAAAGAGAACATGTTTTTGTGTAACATTAATATTGTAATACGGAACTCGTTTGTGCTCCTCTGAACAACTTAATGTATTTTTGATTCATAGCAGCCCAGGTATATTGTTCTGCTGCAGCGGGATATTAAAAAAGCACCTCGCAATAAATAAATAAAAAAATCTGTTCATTGCATTCATCACAGCATATTTTTCTGCATTCTCCATGTATTGACTCTGCTGTGCTTTTTTCCATCACATAGCACATTCCAGCTGTTTTCTTCCAAACATTTGATCCGTTGGTCATCATGAAGGAGGCTGATGGAACTTTAGAAGACAAGTTAAGCTGACCTTTTAACACCGGATTGCAACGAAAATAAACAAGCTGCATTTCCTCATCTCCGATTGCTGTTTGCACAATAAACAAAAATCCAGTCACCTTTGATTCATAAATGTAAATAACACAAACGTGTCTAAAACCTGAGTAAATAAAAGCAAAACTAGTTCATTTGTTGGTATTTTGTAATGATGATTTTCCATTAGTCTTTCTCCCTTTGTTCACAAGAAGCCCACGCAGCAGTCCTGTTTGTCTACTTCATTATGTGAAATTACAGCGCAAAGGCCAACGCACTTCATGCCCTTAAAGCTTCTGAATTCCATTATTTTAAAGGAGGGGCACGTTGATAAGCAGAACCGAAAGAAGGCAGCGAAAAAGGGGTGTGTGAGAGAGGAAGGGGAAGTGAAAAAACAGAGGGGAAGAGAGCGAGCGGCGAGTGAGGCCCAGAGAATCATTCCCGGCTACAGCTGACAACAGTAAAATGAGCCGAGGCGACGCGCTGCGTCCTCCGATGTGGTCCTGCCTCCCAACACCGCCTCCCGCCTCAGAGGCTGCAGTAGTGAGGAGGCGCGTTGCCATGGAGTGGGAAGATTTTCAGAGAATCCACCATTACAAATCTTTTTGTTCAGAGAGGGGAAGAGGGGAGGCAGGGGGATAATGAGAATCAGAGGGGAGGAGGGGTGGGGGGGGGGGGTTCAGGCCACGAGGCCGATAAGTGAGAAGAGCGACTGAAAGAGAGAATGAGAGACGAAGCAATAAAGCAAATGCATCAAGGGGCCAGAGGTGAGGGACAGAGAGGTGCAGAGAAGAGAGGACTGAATGCAGGAGGAGTCAAATATGCGGGCAGGTCATAGACAGAATAATACAATCTGGGGAAGTGTTTAGCTTTGACCACTTCCATAATGAAAATAACGACAGTTTTCATTCCGCATGTTTGTTTTTCCATATTGTTTGAAGAAATGTATTATTTCTCTCATTCAGCCCCCTAAATTATTCTTAATTAGTCGGATGATCTTGTGTGGCTCTTTCTCCTTTGAACAGGAAGAATACATAGAAATCATCCAAAGAGCCTCTTTCATCACATTACACACTGGGTGCAATGTTTCTTGTCGATTCCCTCTGAGCTGACGAGAGGAGGACAGTGTTGTGTGTTAGTGTACGTGTGTGTGTGTGAGTTGAACTGTAATGAAGACGCCATTTGGTTTTTGTATTATTAAACTGTGGAGGCCCTCTACTGGTGTCTACCAGAAACACAGCTTTTCATAAGAATAAAAACAGATACAACAATAGTCAAGTAAATTAATAATTTAAAAAATAGACTTGTGTGCATTACAAGTCTAGAAAGTAAATACAACACTATATTATTTCAAAGAGGCAACTTGCACCAAAAGAGAAACTGATGAATGAACATAAAAGAGAAAACCACTCAAACATCTTGAGCTCCAAACACAGACTCGCTAACAGAAAGCATAATATGTAAATCCAGCTTACCAAACAATGACAACAGCCTAGCGGTCTTTCTGGGGTACATCACTGTGAGAGGCCGTGACAAAATGAAAATAAATTAGTTCACGCATTGATGACTTTGAGGCTGGCGGTCTGTCTCAGGGACACTTGAACGATGGGACTCAACTGTATCTTATCCGACACACTGGGGGGTCTCCCCATCAACATCATGTCACGCTCAAAGCCTCCATGCAGTGGTTGCTGGTAAAACCCTGCAACCTCTACTCCCTAATCAATAAATACTGAGATAATCAGTAATGGACAAAGTGTTCTGAGGAAATAATCAATAGCTTTCAGCGTCTTCGTCCTCTTTGGTGAGCCTTCAAACCACTGACCCTGACGTTTACTACTGTATCCGTACGCCAAACATCGTCAAAAATCTTGAATCAACAGATAGAAGTAGTGTTTCCTTTTTGTTGGGACAATAGTTTGTAAGCAACACTGCTAAATATTTCCCCACTAGACCCATTTGGCACGGCCACAAGTGCTGTAATCAATAGGATACAACACAAAGATGCGACTTTGATTTGTTGTTGCTACCCGCTTGTTAAAAAAGTAGAGAGGAACACTTACTGAGTCACATTACTAATTTAAAACACAAAACCTAGAGAACAGTGGAGTATATTATTTACATGGCAAAAAAGACATTCTCGTAGCCAAAGCCAAAGATATCAAGATTATCCACAGAAACTGATAAGAGCATTAAGTCTGTGTGGATCAACATCAACATTTCATCTGTCAAGACAGACATGACTTCACTGAGAGCTTCCCAGGCCCAGGGCAAACCATTAAAGTAGACCCAGGGACAGGCATTTTTAGAAGAAACACATAATACGACAACTGGGAGAAGCCAAACTGGAACACAAGCCTGTCTTGTGATTGGCAGACACTCACGGTTGAACTCCCGGCGGCAGACGCGGGGCCTCCAGGGTCGGTTCCGTATCCAGTTCAAACGACGAGGCACCTCCATGATGCAGAGCTGGTGCCAGAGTGCGATGGCCACTCATTCATCAAAGAGCAGCACCCAGGTGTCTCTGTCCATCCCTGGGACAGATTATCCCCCCCAGGGCATCGGGCGGTTCCGAGAGGCCAATAATTTCTTTTATTTTTTGAGGGGGGCCCCCCACCCTCAAAGAGAGAGGTTGTTACGGCATCCCCCCCCCCCCGCTTTTTCTTTTAGGCAGGAGCGAGGGAAACCCACCTCCCCCCACTCCTGGTGGGGGGGGGGGGGGGGGGGGGGTTCGGAGGCAGAACTCTCCCCGGGAACGGGCGCCTATCTACGGGCAGCAGCCGAAGCGAAGAGTGCACGCCCCGCTGAAACATGACGCTGCTGCACCGAGGCCTCGGGGAGGCAAGGTGCACGGACGTGTAGCACGTGGTGCTCGGCAGCTACCTGAGGAGGCTGGAAGGAAGGCGCTCAGCCAGAGACACCACAAATAAAACGGTGTTATTTATTCATTATTGTGCTTGCAATCAAGGATATATCCATATATTCGTGTCGAGAATACATTCAGTGTTCAGGAAACGTACGGACTCGTTACACGTTACTGTAATACTCGTATACGTATTTAACTCTACATGGTGCAGTCTTCTCATCTTTCACTGGAGAACCTGGTTTCTTCTCCTGCATTCATCTGCTGTTGCATATTTTTTCAGGGTTAAATATAAATTAATATAATAAATAATGGGTGCTGGCAATCAGCTTTAAAGAAATTTACCAAACATCAGGTTTTGAAATTCTGGTTTGCTATACATAAAAATGAGTAAATGGTTTTGAAAGGACAAAAAAAGCCAATAAGAAATGTTTTTTTTAGCATTTATATTGATATTTAAAATTTCATCAACCACATCATCATTTTGAAACATTGTTATACTTAATAACTTAAGAGCGTGAATAAATGTGTTGAAGGGTTAGTGTAGAGGACGATGGATCAGACCAGTCACTGAAACAGACATTTCTGACTTGCCTTTATTCAAATAAAAATATTTTTAAAAAACACAGCAGCTTCGGGTGTCAGGTGTGTTTTTACATTTGGTTTGTCCAACATGTAATAAATAAAAAAAAGCAACCACTTAAGAAACAATTCTACAAAGAATCACATCACAACTTCAGTAAACTCAACACACCAGAACAGAATACACACATTCAGGAGTTCCTAGCCTATAACACACGTTGAAACATACTGCAACATTAAAGTTCTGCCATTTCTGAGTACATGAACGTCATAACATTATAATCCATCAAAATACATTGAGAACGTTGTGTTCACAGCAGATATATGGAGACTTTCTTCTTAACAACACACACAAAACAACGCACAAAACGATCAAATTTGGTATAAATGATAACAACGGCCCCCAGAGGAAGTAACATTAAAGTAACATGGCTGATGTTGTCGAAGTGCTCAACTCACCAGGTTAAATATCGTTCAAATTAGGTCAAGATTATTTCCAGCTTGGAAGTAACGGAGCTTCATCAAATCGACCACACTCACATAAAGAGACCACACTCACAGAAGGCACATAAAGGTCATGAGGACAACACACTTAAGGTGTAATTTCCTCACACACACACTTTGCTACAGGCTTAACGCACTCCGTGAGTAGAAAGATGGTCCAACTATCAGCCTGTTTAAGACTTGTGGCTGTGAACAGTGAACAAATGACCCCAGCTGGTGATGTATTGACAAGGCAACATCACTTTAAATACACTATTTGTGTTACAAACTATTAAGTACAGTTAGTTAGAAAAAAAGACAATAGTTCAAGATAACAGCTACAACGTGTGCACATTGTTTGTGCAAGGAGCCCCAAAGGAGCGTGGCAGGAACCACCGGTTGATCCGGAAAACCATTTTGTTACATTAGTCCAGGAAACGCATACGCAAAAAAGGTTAAAATTCTAGATGAGCTCTTGTTTGCTGGACAGAAGAATCTCAAAACCTTTCCCTGGATGTGACTATTAGCTACCACTAGAAGGCACCAGAAATAAAATATAGCCCTGAAGCATTCAAAGGGTTCGTGGTGGAACGGATTCATCATCATAGTCAGCTGACGCATCAAAAGGCTCATAAAAAAAATAACAGCACTTTTGTAAATAATCTCTTTCCGCTGACCAGTCTGATTATTACAGATCTGTCTACTTGGTAATCCAGTATATTGAGGAGAACGCTTTTCTATAACCATGGTGGTTGTAAAACAAGACCAAAAAAAGCCCAAGAACAAGGTTTTTGGGACATAATCTGGCTGCCATACAGATTACGCTGACAGTAACTGTAATTCATCTATGAGATCAGACAGCTAATTTTCCAATCAGAACATTCAAGTCTGCAGCTTTCAGCAATTACACCAGTGACACCAATGGACGGGACCCAAGTCATTGGATTGTAAGACAAATACAAGGGTTTTAATTTGCAGTTCTGAATGACTGGTTTCTATGATCCTACGGACCCTACGGGGGGGGGGGGGGTCACCATAAGGCTTTCTGTCAGCTTGTGTGCGCGTGAGTTGCAGTGGTGTGGGGGAAATTACACGGATAACACTGTACTAATAGCATGTGAATGTGCTCAAGTTCCACTGAGTTAATCTATACAGTGCTGCTGTTTGGAGGGTTTTACTGAGCAGAGCGAGGTTTGGCTTGTGCTTGAGGACAAAGGAGGAGGTGTGTGGAGTTCACCTGCCCAGTTTTCTTCATTCTCAGCTAAAATCAAATCTATACTGGTCTAAATCCCGATTGTCTAAAGCTCTCAGCTTCCTTTGTGTCGTTGCTTCTCTTCCATCCCGCCTTCCTGCCTTTCAGACGAGGGTTTTGCAGCTCCATCATTCAATCTTCGCCGGGTCCAAATTGTCCAGGTCGATACCAGGCGAGGTCACACAGCACAGGAACAGTTTTTGGGTGTACAGAGAGATTTTATCTGTGGCAATGAAAGAAAGGAAATTAAGTAAAATAACTAAAGAGAACGTCTTTGAAATAAAGTTAAGAATGAGAAAGCTTCCTTCGGTGGAGTGAAGATCTCCACCAAGTCCATCTGCGACAACCGCTCCCGTATTGTGGGAATATTCACCACAAACACGAGATGAAGCCATAACCGGCTGACAGACAGACACGTGATTCTCCAAGTAGAGTTAATACTTCTAATAAGCAATAGAGTGTTTTAGAACAAATAAATCTAAAAGGATTACTAGTTTCAACATTTGCATGACATAAATGGTATGTGGGGATATTCTAAAGGTTTCATAGTTCTACAGAACGCTTTCCAGCATGTGGGCTCAATAGTACAGTGAACTTTGAAACAGTAATCTCAATCACTCTTTAGCTCTTAACTCTTAAGACAAGGAGTTTTTACATGTGCCAATGGTACTGGCTACAGTAAGACCTGTAAGCTACTTTAAATAATGACATCACACAACTTAAACCAGAGGTTACGCTCCAGAAACGCCAACGAGGCGTAATTATGCACCCTGGTCACAAGAAAAAAATCTGTATCAACATTTCTAACATCATGTGTTTAAATTACTATCTGTAATTTATATTGGACTCAGATCTTATGTGCCAGTGTTTTACACTCATGTCACTTATGTAGAAATGTATGTAGCTTAACAGTGAAAAGGCCATTGCTCCTTTCAAATTCAACCACCAGTCTACATATCTGTATAATGGTTGAATTTTCATTCATTCTATAAAATGCATCTGAACAGCGACGTGATCCGAGCAAAAGAAAACGTGTCAAACGAGTACGAGGATCTCAAAACGTCAGCCGAAGCCTCTTACCGATCATCTTTCCGAGGAAGGCCGGTCGTGAGCTGGCTGGCAGGTGGATGCAAACGTAGTAGACTGGTACGCCAGACAACGCCACAGCGATTCCCACCAGAGAGTTGATGGTGTCGCTGTAGAGGGGAACTACAACCAGAAAGAGACTGCACAGGCAGTAGACTATCGGGAAGAAGAGAGAGAGCTGCAGGGGAAGGGAGCGAGGACGGACAGACAAAGGGAGGATATACAAAGGGTTCAGTAAGAAGGTGAAAGTAGAGCAGAGGAAAACATCATGGGCTGTTAACATCGTTGTCATAGCTAGAAGCCATTGCTGTGTGTGGTCAGGCCTGCAATGGAGGCGACGTTTATGAATAAATGTAAATGCTCTAAAATACATAATATCACATAATATTTACTTCTTCAACTAATCTAATTAAAAGGTTGAAATGTATGTTCTGCCCAAAAGCTAGACACACATTTTTAAAAGACTTCATGCAAACATATTATGAATGCGTGTGTGCGTTCAGGCAGGGAATGGTCTGGGCACTAACTAACTAACTGCATTAATTAAAGTTGCTATCAAGGCCCAGGTCATTGAAAACTTTTGACATGTTCCGTCCCTGCAAATGTCGAATTCCCTTCATGCCAAAAAAGATTCCTGGAAGTCAGAGCCGATCTGATAATTAAACATGCGCGTCAGCGTTCACGCTTCTTCACTTTCTTACCTTGACAGGCCGGTGCAGATCAGGAGCTTTGAAGCGGAGGTAGATCAGGCTGGCTATCGACAAACCAATGAACAACCAGTAGTTGAAACTGAAGTAGTTGATTAATTGGAAGACGTCAGGTACAGACAGGAAGATTAGAGACATGCCTCCCTGAAGAGAAGATGGTTGGAGCTCAGCAGGAACACGGCCTCAAACACAACCAAATACGAACAAACGTTTAAACCCACAGAAATGTGCGATACCAACATTGAAAAGCAGGGCAGGAATGGGGGTGAAATGTTGTATGTGGATCATGCACAGCACATTGGGCAGGTGACCTTCTCTGGAACCAACAAAGAACAACCTGCAGGAGAAACAACATGTTGGAAAGATGTTGCCTCTTAGTTTTGCTGAAACATTACAGGCAGAAATTATATTTTTTTTAGGACAGCAGGGTAAATGTGTACAGGATTTTTGCCTCGGACTTACCGGGAGGCAGCAATGATGGAGGAGTTGAGGCCTCCGTAGCACGATATGGCCACAGACAGAGGGATCAGCCAGCGCGCCCAGCCCAGCACATCATCAGCAAAGGTCTGAGGACACATTCGACCAAGATGATTAGTGTCGGTGAATAGTTCTATGGTGACGTATATATAAATCTGTGGAACACAACATTCAAGGATAATTTATCCTCATTATGCAACAAGGGCTTACATGACAAAATGCAGTTGTTACCCATTTGTAACACAGGAAAAAAATAGATCTGTGAAAGGATCATGAGTTGGGCCAAAAATGTGAATTTTGAGGCCACTTTTAACCACCAAACTGTAAATCACAAAGTGGACACTCGTGCACCATTTGAAGCAATGATATATCAGATATTGTAACAGATAATAAAAGCCAGTCCAACTCTCCCTCCTCCTCTAATTCACTAATCACATCATCACGTTCCCAAGGTCCTGCGTGGGGCGCTAACCTCTTTAGCTAAATGAGGTTCCTGCCCTCATCTCGATCCTGCAGCCACAGATAACTCAAAGGGACAACGTACCAGCCACAAGTGAGCCTGGCTGCCAGCCAGACGGAGAGAGACAGTAGCAGAAGACGGGAAGCACAGATAAAACTCTGCTTTCCCAGGAAGGCGGCGCAGATGTTCATTTGAATCGCATCTGTGAGGCCGACCGGATTTGGCTACTGCTCAGTTACAGGTTCTTCGGTGTGCGAGGAGAAGGCATTAAGTTACTGACCACAGCGACGGCCTCGCTGCTGAGCACTCGGTCTGCATCCATGACGACGTAATAAGCCACGTTGGTCAAGATGTAGATCACGGTGACGATGGGCATGGAGATGGCGATGGCCAGGGGCAGATTCCTGAAAAGGAGAAAAATTAGATTTCATTAGCTAAAATATGTCAGCCACGGGCAGCCTCTGCGGAGAGCTGAGCGGATACTTCAGCAGTACCGGGACGACGTGGTGGATCGGGTCAGAACAGAGCTCATGCACAGCACCAACAACTGGTCCAACAGTTACAGTAGGTCGCTGAAAACCGGTATTACATGGGAACCGTGTAGCTACTTAACAGTACTTATTACTTCTTCCCAGGACCCAGCTGTCTGAGGCCAATGATAAGATGCTGGCTGTGCAGGAGTGTTACACAGCTGTCTGCAAGGAGAAGGACTTGCTTGGCAAGGAGGAGGCTGTGATCAAAGTAAATGAGGTCCTAAAATGTGTTTACAATAACGTTGGACATGGTTCCTATACTCAAATCATTAAAAGGGAGAACAGATTTGAAAAGATCAAAATGATTGAAATGGTCTTGCCCCATCGTACCTGTTACGTTCCCCAGTTTTCTGTGTTTGGTTAGTGAGCCTTGCTAGTGCTCAAGCTAGGTTAGGGGGGGGTGTTTCAGGTCAGATAGGCAAGAGGGACTATTTTGTTTTGTTCATTGTTTTGGTTCCGCCCAGCCCCTTTTCCCAAGCAACCCGTATATATATCTATATCTATATATAGATATATATATTAATAAACATTCCTTTTTACGGGTTATATGTGTTCTGGTTGTCCGTGTACCTACACGCACCACACCTCTTTCCCCATTACCACATTGAGATAACGAGCGGCGGGTCGTTGCGTTCCCTCCTCCACGAGGCGTGCGTAACAAAGTGGGGGCTCGTCCGGGATCCAACTTGCTTGGTTCCCATCTGGCCCTGCTGCTCTGAGCTCTGTGGTTGGTGGTTAGGGTGTAGTAGTGGGGGTTGTGAATTGGATGACCTTTAGTTTTGTTGTGTGTTCGGTAAGTCGCAATAGTGTACATGATGGCTACTTCAGCCATCTCCAGTTTTGTTGATGCGCCCTCGGTTAGTCAGTTGGTAGGATTGCGTAAGGCAGACCTCTATGCCATAGCAAACCATTACAAGATTTCTGTTCCTACGCAGGCCCTTAAGGCTGAACTTTTGGTGTTGGTCCAGAAGGGGTTGATTGAACAGGGTTTCTGTTCCTTGAAGAAGGGGGAGAGTGAGGTTAGTGAGGGGGAGGAGACTGCAGAAGGACAGGTGATTGGTTTTTCTCCTACACGGTCGGAAGAGGGTGTTCAGGAGGGACCGTTCACCCTGCCCAAATTCAACCCGTCACCTTCTTCGGGCCATTCGGTTTCCTCCTCCGCAAAACTTAAACTAAGATTAGCTCGGCTGGAGATAGAGCAACGAGACAAGGAACAGGCAAGAAAGTTTGAATTAGAGGTTAAAAGACTGACCATAGAGGCTGACAAAGAGATACGCATACGACAACTGGAGCTAGAGGCTGGCTTCAGTGCATCCCCTCAGTCGCCGCAGCTTCAGTTTGAGGTAAGCAAGAACATTGCGTTGGTGCCACCATTTCGTGAATCCGAAGTAGATTCCTACTTTTCTGCATTTGAGCGGGTGGCGGCTGCGCTACATTGGCCACAGGATGTATGGTCAATCCTGTTGCAGTGCAAATTGTCTGGGAAAGCCCAAGAGGTTTTAGCTGCTCTGTCCCTAGAAGACAGTTTGCAGTACGACATAGTTAAGGCAACTGTGTTGCGTGCGTATGAGTTGGTGCCTGAAGCGTATAGGCAGCGTTTCAGGAACCACAAAAAGCCTCCTGACCGTACATTTGTTGAGTTTGCTAGAGATAAGGAGTCTCTGTTTGATCGTTGGTGTTCGGCTAGTAAAGCTAACACGTTTACAGAGGTTAAGGAACTAATGTTGTTGGAGGAGTTTAAAAATCACTTGCCAGACCGGGTTGTAGTTCATTTGAACGAACAGAAAGTGACAACGTTGGCCCAAGCGGCAGTGTTGGCCGATGAGTACGCCTTAACCCATAAAACAGTGTTTGGAGAGTTTCGATTTGAAGGCAGGTCGGTGACGTCATCGTGCCTCGATCTGGTCGTGTTGCCTCCCACGACGACCCTAAGCCGATGGCTGAGGTCCGTGAGTGCTTTTATTGTCACAAGGTCGGTCACTTGATTGTGGACTGCCCAGTGTTGAAAAGTAAACCCAAACCGTCTGAGTCATTCCCTCCAAAGTCCAAAGGCATGGGTTTTGTTTGGCCGCAAGACTCAACTAGTGACTCGCTTGTGAGGCCAGATCCTCTTTATGCCCTGTTTTTGTCCACAGGTTGTGTCTCCTTGACCGGGGAACAAGCTGACCAAAAGCCCATGCAGATACTACGAGACACCGGGGCGGCACAGTCGGTCATTCTCACCAAAGTGCTACCCTGGTCACCGGACTCGTACTGTGGTTCCCATGTAATACTCCAGGGTATAGAGACATCCACAGTATCTGTGCAGTTACATTGGGTTAATTTAAAGTCCGACCTGGTAGCCGGACGTTTTCGTGTTGGTGTAGTGTCTACGCTACCAGTTAAAGGAGTGACATTGCTGTTGGGGAATGATATTGCTGGTGGTGTTGTTACTCCCATGTTGGAAGTGGTAGGCAGCCCAGAGTCTACATCGACAGACAATGATTTAGTTGAAGCCTTTCCCCATGTTTTTCCTGCGTGCGTGTTAACAAGGGCACAGTCTCGCAGGATGGGAGACATGGTGGATTTAGCGGGTTCTGTTTTCGCCCGTAGTACAGCGGCGCAGATCGTCCCTACTGTAGCTACGACAACGCCAATGTTTTCTACCACCGGCAAGTCTACTGTCGGGGAAAACGTAAGTGCTCCCCAATTACATGATATTCTGGTGATGGTCACGCCTGCTAGGGTGATCGAGTATCAGAAGGAAGACCCCAGTCTGCGTAAGTGTTTTGCTTCTGTAGTTTCCCCGGAGGAAGCAAACACTAGGGAGACTGCCTACTTCATGGAGGCTGGTGTACTGATGATTTTTTCTACGTTTGGCCTCCCAAAGGTTCTTCAAACTGATCAAGGAACTAACTTTACATCAAAACTGTTTGCGGAGGTATTAAAAACTTTGTCTATCTCCCACCAGGTCTCGAGTCCGTATCATCCGGAGAGTCAAGGGGCTCTTGAACGCTGGCATCAGACGCTTAAGGCAATGCTGCGTAAATATTGTCTGGATGCTAGTAATGATTGGGATGAAGGTGTGCCGTTTGTCCTGTTTGCTGTGAGGGAGACCGTACAAGAGTCTCTAGGATTCAGCCCTGCTGACTTGGTTTTTGGACACACCCCTCGGGGTCCGTTAATGGTGCTGAAGGAGCACATTCTATCTCCAACGCCTGCTACCGCCCCTCGTAATGTGCTGGAGTATGTCAGTGCAATGCGGGAGAGACTGCATGCCGCCTGCGTGCTAGCTCAAGAGTCTCTCTCCTCAACTCAGAAGCGCATGAAGGTGCGCTATGACAGAAAGGCTGTTAGCCGTTCTTTCGCACCAGGGGATCAAGTCCTTGTTTTGTTGCCAATCCCTGGTTCGTCTCTGTCTGCTCGGTTTTCTGGACCGTACGTGGTGGAAAAGAAGGTCAGCGACACCAACTATGTGATTGGAACTCCGGATCGTAAACGCTCTTCAAAGTTGTGTCTCATTAACATGCTGAAACCGTATTTTGTGCGCGCTTCTCCAAACAGCTCCTCGGGTACGCTAGTGCAGCCTACCGTCTCTAGTGTGGGTGCCGTGGTGCTGAAAGCTGGTTGGGACTTGGAGGAGGAACAGCAGGACGGGTTGGTGTTACGCCATACGCTACAGCAATGTGCGCGGTTGTGTAATTCGGAGGTATTAAAAAGCCTTCCTTCACACATGGAGCATTTAGAGAGTGATCAGATTGCTGATCTTGTCGTGCTGGTTAACCGTTTTTTGAGTGTGTTTCAGGATATCCCCAGTCGCACATCACTCATAGAGCATGATGTGGACGTGGGGAATGCTGCTCCTATTCGGCAGCACCCCTACAGAGTGAATGCCACTAAAAGAGAGGTTATGAGGAAGGAGGTGAGTTATTTGTTAGAGAACGACATGGCAAAACCCAGTAACAGCTCGTGGAGTTCTCCATGTATTCTTGTCCCTAAGCCAGACGGTACGTCTCGTCTTTGCACGGACTATAGACGTGTGAACACTGTGACGATACCGGATTCTTTTCCTCTGCCTCGTATCGACGACTGCATTGACCGAATTGGTTCTGCTGCTTATGTAAGTAAGCTAGATCTATTGAAAGGTTATTGGCAGGTGCCACTAACTTCTCGTGCCTCTGACATTTCGGCTTTTGTTACACCTGACAACTTTCTACAGTACACTGTCATGCCGTTCGGAATGCGTAACGCTCCTGCGACCTTTCAGAGGTTAGTGAATACTGTGTTTGCTGACGTGCCTAACTGTACCGCCTACCTAGACGATGTGGTAATTCATTCGTCCACTTGGTCCGAACATCTGGCCTCTCTGAAAATGGCTTTTCAGCGGTTGGAGAGTGCTTCGCTAACCCTCAACCTGGCCAAGTGCGAGTTCGGTAAGGCTACTGTTACCTATTTGGGGAAGCAGGTGGGACGGGGACAGGTGCGTGCCATCACTGGAAAGGTAGAAGCAATCATTGCTTTTCCTGCTCCTTCTACTCGTCGCCAACTGCGTAGGTTTCTAGGGATGGTGGGATACTATCGTACCTTTTGCAAGAACGTTTCGACGGTAGTAGCCCCTCTTACATCCTTGCTCAGTCCTAAGGTGCCGTTTAGGTGGTCATAGGATTGCAATTCTGCTTTTGAGTCTGCGAAAATGTTACTTTGTAACGCCCCGGTGTTGGCTGCGCCTGACTTCGACAAACCATTTAAGCTCGAAATTGACGCTAGTACAGGAAGATGAGGACGGAGTGGACCGCCCTGTCAGTTTCTTCTCCCGTAAATTTAGTGTCAATCCAGGTACTCTACCATCGAACAGGAGACGCTAGCACTTCTGCTAGCCCTTCAATTCTTTGAGGTTTATGTGGGTTCGAGTGCTTTGCCTGTTGTGGTCTTTACAGACCATAACCCCTTAGTATTCCTAAAGCAAATGTACAATCAGAACCGCCGCCTTATGCGATGGGCTCTGATTGTCCAAGGGTACAATTTGCAGGTTTGCTACGTAAAGGGTACGAATAACGTGGTAGCCGATGCGCTATCGCGTGTTTAAGTACTGGGTTACGTTTGGTTGTTTTGTCGCAAACTGGAGGTTTGCTGTTTTTGGGGTGGGCGTGTTACGTTCCCCAGTTTTCTGTGTTTGGTGGCTTTGTTTTGTGCCTTGACAGGTGATTGATTCCAGGAGCAGCAGTCCCCAGACTGGAGATCTGGCCCCACCCACTCGTCAGTGGCTGCACCTGGATTCCTTCCCTCGCAACACATAAAGTGGTGCCATTTTGTTATGAAGCTCTCGCTCGTTGGGTGTGGGTTGTAGAGCAGAGAGTGACTTGGAGTCTCTGTTAAATCTTGTTCTGTGTGCTTGTGAAAGCGCTCTTATTTGTGTTTAATCCTGTTTTTTTTGTCTTTTGTTCCCAGGGAAAAGGGGAAGCACGTAGGCAAGCTGCCCATGGGTCTACACCACCCGTAGTCATCCTCCTGTCTAGAAACACTAGGCAAGACCTGGGCGGACCACCCCCCTGTATTTGGTTAGTGAGCCTTGCTAGTGCTCAAGCTAGGTTAGGGGGGGGTGTTTCAGGTCAGATAGGCAAGAGGGACTATTTTGTTTTGTTCATTGTTTTGGTTCCGCCCAGCCCCTTTTCCCAAGCAACCCGTATATAGATATAGATAGAGATATAGATAGATAGAGATAGATAGATAGAGATAGATAGATATATAGAGATAGATAGATATATTAATAAACATTCCTTTTTACGGGTTATATGTGTTCTGGTCGTCCGTGTACCTACACGCACCACACCTCTTTCCCCATTACCACATTGAGATAACGAGCGGCGGGTCGTTGCGTTCCCTCCTCCACGAGGCGTGCGTAACAGTACCCCTACACGCCCAGCCGATCTCTCAGGTCAACTGACCAGCTGCTCCTGAGGGTTCTGAAAACAAGGCTGAAGCTCAGAGGGGACCGAGCATTTTCTGTGACAGCTCCAAAACTATGGAACAAACTGCCGCTGCACATTAGACAGGACTCCTCACTGTCTAATTTTAAAACTCTTCTTAAAACACATCTTTTTTCTTTAACACTACGTAGGTTGTAGATTTTATTTTAATTTTATTGTACAGCACTTTGGGAACCTTTGTGTTCATTTTAACTGTGCTTTATAAATAAAACAGATTGGATTGAAAACTGAATGATTATTTGAACTTTTGAGTGTTTATTATTGTTGTCATGTGTAATTGTGTTGACCGATTCCTAACTGTATAGCTGGATTAAAAAAACAACAACAGGTTCTCACTGTTCTCACTCACAACAAAGGATTACAAAGGAAGTCAAGTGGACTGTGATCCAGCAGCAGGCGCATTCTAGGGCCAAGGCTGCTTGGGAGGAGGAACTAAAAAAGGTACGTGTTCCTGCAGTCGCTGTCCAGTTTCCACAACTCTCTACGGGTGATCTTAACACAGAATCTACTGCCTCTGTGCAGATGGAGAAGATCTGGGTCCACAGACTGGAGGAGGCCACAAAGAGTCAGGCGGATGATATTGAGGCCAGCAGTGCGACCGTTACTGTGGAGGAGCTCGACTCCAGGCTCAGTGCACAGAAACAGCAGCTGCAGGATGACAAAGTCAAAGAAGCCAGCGAACAAGCCTTGAGGACATTAACAAAAAGGTGAGTTTATTACAATACTCGCTAGTTGGCCAAATGTGCTTTACCATACTTTTTTTTTGGTCACCATTTGGAATCAAGCCAATGCCATTAGACTTTTTAATACTGGGTTCTTCATTTTTCACCCGTCCTTTCACTTTTTAGATCTCCCAGCTACGTGATTATTAATTATTATGTTGTTGCAGGTTGAAGTTACCAGGGCCTGCCTTCGCCGGATGGAGGATTTGACTCCATTAACAGAATACGAAACCGCTCTCCAAAGAGAGAGGGCGAACTGGGAGGAACTACATGAACAAAATACTGAGCAGCGGGTATGATATTACTATAAATGTGTCACTCCTGTCAACTGTTTTTTTTCTTTTTGGATAATGAATATTCCTCAATGTAAACGTGCCAGGTGTCCCAGGCCCTGAAGGAGGCAGAGGAGCAGTGGTATAATAAGCACCAGAACCAGCCGGAGGGGGAAAGCTCTGGAACGCAGAGGGTGGAGGATCGCCAAGAGGAGGTGGCCTCTCTCCAGAGTCAGCTGGAGCTGGAGAGGAGAGAGCATGCCACCCTGCTGAAGGCCGAGCTGGCCGGAGCTAGAGCAGCCTGGAACTGAGAAAAAGAGGAGTTCTATGCCGTACAGGGCCGCAGCGAGCAGGTTTACCAAAGCAAGTTGCAAGCGCACCGGCGCAGCTCCAGCGGATGGAAGCCAAGCTGCAACAGACGCTGGGGGCCCGAGAGGAGGAGTTGAGATGTCAGCATGCGGAGAACGGAGCAGGCTCAGAGAAAGCAGTTAACAGTCCTTTGAATCTGCCGCTAATGGAATGAATAAAGTTTGATGTAGAACCTTTACGCTCATAGATGTTTTTTGTGCGCATGTTGCATTAACATTGTTAAAAGAAAAGTCTGACGTATCGCAAGCAGCACATTTACTAGACCGACAAGCGTTAAATTTGAGCATGAAACAAAAGCCAGGGGCTGCTTAGCTTAGCACAGTGAACTGGAGGAAAGGACCAGACTTGTTCAACCCAAAGATAAGTTTTGCTTTTCTAAGGTTAATCATTTCACCCCACGACGAGAAAGCAAGTGGGGATTATTGTTATAGTGTGGTGTTCTTCGTCGGGTCTATTCAACTAGCGGCCCTTCTGAAAGTTTTAGTGGCCCACGAGAGATGTGTGTGATATGGGGAAAACAGTCACTCACACCAAAAAAAACAAACGAACGAACAAAAAAACCCATCTGACCAAATATATTTGATCTTTGATCTGACTCAGGCATACTGTGAGATTTGTCCTTTTTAAGACGTTGCCGTCGTCGCTGACGTTTTGAGATCCTCGTACTCGTTTGACACGTTTTCCTTTGCTCGGATCACGTCGCTGTTCAGATGCATTTTATAGAATGAATGAAAATTCAACCATTATACAGATATGTAGACTGGTGGTTGAATTTGAAAGGAGCAATGGCCTTTTCACTGTTAAGCTACATACATTTCTACATAAGTGACATTAGGGTAAAACACTGGCACATAAGATCTGAGTCCAATATAAATTACAGATAGTAATTTAAACACATGATGTTAGAAATGTTGACATCTCCAAGGCAAAAAAACGCAAAGTTGATGGTGAAAATCACCAGTTCCAGAGCCAATGGACCGATAAGTATTTATTCACTTTGCCAGCCGCAAGAAGCAATAACGTTTCACCCGTGTGTTTACTATGCAACGTTACAGTTTCCGTGATGAAGGAATACAACGTGAAGAGGCACTACTATTCAAATCACGGGTCTTTTTCCAACATTTTATTTGAATGAAGTTATTTTACCTTAATTTTATGTTTTTTGTTTGGCAGCTGCCAGTCATTTGACCTTCTTTTTACGTTTTTTTTTTTTTTACAGTGTAACTAATAATACCTACGTAACATATCTTTGATTTGTACAAAAAACTCAATTTAGAGAAATCCATTTGAAGTTAAAAGTTACTTCATGGAATCCCGTTGCCACCGTGATGTTGCTAGACCTCAGACCTAAAACTCCATTCATTTTCAGCAGGTCTCTATTGCTTAAAGACAATTCGATTCCAGTATTCTTAAGACTACTTTAATGGTTCTTCTTGGAAAAAGAAAAAGAAAAATCCCTGTCAAAGCCTTGTGGAGACAAGCGTGGAACATATTGGCAGATACCTGCCGTTATATTAGCGGGTTGACTTGGCTGCTTTTTGCTGGTGTCCACCAACGCACAAGTCTGATTACTTATTATGACTAATAAGAAAGCGACCTCGTACCTCTCTGGGTTTTTGATCTCCTCTGTGATGAAGTTCAGCGTGTCCCAGCCCGAGTAGGAGTACAGCGCTGAGTAGAGGGCCAGGGCCATGTCACCAGGGTTCAGTTTGGAGCCTTTGAACGAGCCCTCGAAGTTCTGGTCAAAACCTACATCGACACAGGGTTGTTTGACTCGTCCAGGACATAAAGAAGTATTATTTAAGGCTAAATCATTCCTGAATATTTAACGTCTAATGTCTTACATTTTAGTTATTGTAATCTTCAGATAACTTCCCTGCACATTTGTCCTTCTTGCTGATGGTAAGTTTTGTTTTCCTACCTTGTGCGAGCTTCACCAGCCCAGTAATGATGATGACGATGAGAGCAAGGACCTTCGCTACAGTGGAGATGACCTGAAGATTGGCCCCCCATTTCACTTTCATACAGTTCACAAAGGTCAGCAGACCTGGTGAGAGAAGAGGGGGGACGAAAGCAGTTTACAAATAGCAAAAAACACTACTGACTTGAGACCTAAAAGTTGCGGCACAACAAATTCATTCCAGCATCACAGGCAGACGCATGCAGCCAAGCGGGGGCCAAGCGTGGGCCACGTGCTGCACGGCGAGTCACACGGCTGCAGCCGTTAAACACCTGCTCATGAAGCGGTTACGTCAGCAGAATTATTTTCTCAAATGATCCCGTCTGAGCTCGCTGGCTCCCTTTGATCTAAGACCGCAACGGAGAGAGTTGTGTGCTTTATGTGGTGTCGGTGTTGCAGCATTTGTTTTAAGATGCGTGTGTGTGTGTGTGTGTGTGTACGGAAACACACCAAACGTGCGAATACACAATCATGGTCTTATTTAGGCTTTGTGAAAAAAAAATCTTTAAAACCTTAAATTGGATGTGATTTCATTCTTGGCCGTGCGCATAACAAATATTTAGGGTTTCTATTCACTAAACCAGCATAGTACATTTAAGGCTGAGTTAAAAGGAAATCAAGTATTAAGTGTATTTACACACATAACCCTCTAATTGAAAAGAAAACAAAGACCAAGTGAGGCAGCTGTAATATAATGTGTCATCTATTTAAATGCAGCATGCATGATTCAACATGTACCGGTAGCACTGCTTAGAACTACCTTACAGCTGCTGCGAAATCTCCTAAATTCAACAGTTTGCAATTGACTTAACGAGATTCACAAAACACTTACTGCAAACACAAGCGTGCACAACCGCAGGCAGTATTAAAAACGTACAACCGATCAAGCAGAGCATGAAAGTGTGCCTAGTACAGGGAGAGACTTACATATGATGACGGCGGCGATGAGACGGACAGCAGCATAAGGGGCTGTGCAGGTGGAGTAGAAGGGCTGGACCAGGTAGGTGGAGAAGGTCAGAGCGATCACTGCCTGACAAGCCGGCTCAACTATCAACAAGGACGTCCACAGTCTACGGGATTAAGAAGTCTTCATACATAAAAGGCAAACATGCAGCATATATATTTTGTTTAACTGCATTAAGAGAACAATAATAAATCAAATACATTGTCTGCATCTCTACTATTAGGAACATGGCTTTCTCAGTTCAAAATGGAGAGCAGAGCATGAGTGAAAAAGAATTACCATGCAATATGTGAACTGTCTCCAACAAACTCATGAGATGACTCATGTGGAGTATTGTTGAGCACTGTGCGTCACAGTGAAGACGTATTGTAGCACTCATTTAGAGGGATTTACACAAATTAAGAATATATATGCAACCTATTGTTGTCATACAATGCAGGTTACAAAAAGACAACTGGGCGTGAATGGAATGTATGAAAAATAACCATGTGTGTTAAAAATGAGTGTTTGCGGTGGTAAAGAGTAAAAAAAAGAAACTGGCGTACCGAATGAAAGCTAAGAAACCTCCAAAGGCCTCCAGGATGTAGGCATAGGACGCTCCTGATTTACGGATGGTAGTCCCCAGCTCAGCATAGCACAACGCCCCGAACACCGAAAATATCCCCCCGATGGCCCACACCACCAGGGACAGGCCGAACGAGCCGGTGTAAAAAAGAACTCCCTGCAGGACAGCAGATGAGAGCAGAGAACAAAGAGCAAATTACATAATACATCAATAAGACATACAAAGAATAAGTACTTTTAAAAATAAGAAGAACATACCAGAATTGGCTCACTTCTACGTTGGGGTTAGTTTTCAAAATAACTTTGTTTTGGGGTTGATTTCAGCTATTTGTGCTGTGTGTAAAGGAAAAGTTCTACGTGGAATATATTTCCATTCAGTCTTTGGTGTAAATGTTTTTTTTTTGTTGCACCATTCCCAGCTAATGAAGCGATTACAACAATTGAGACATGAAGGCCCTTGTATTAGTTGAATGTGACGATTCACCAATTTTCTGTTAAAGGAGAATGGAGACCTTGGAGAACCAGCTAATTGGTTTAAAAAATAACACTCTGTGCAGCGCTAAGTCGCCGTCAAGCTTCCCTGCTCAACCTGCAGAACCTGTGACTCACAGACGCCTGTAAACTTGCTGCCGACGCTTAACATTTACGCAGCGTCTCGCCATGCATTTGGTTGTAGTGCCTGACTGCGTTTCCACAAGGCGCCAGCCGACAAGCCCATTTCTCACCACCGCCTCGCGGCCTTCGCGGCCTCTTGCGAGGGGAAAAAAAAAAAAAAAAACTGCCTGTGTTACAGAATGTGAAACTTCCACTTCTGACACCATTCCAACAGGAAATGCTGCAGGTGAACAGCAACAAAGCAAGCAACTTCTTCAGCTAATTGCTCGGCAAGGTGTGCCTTAAGGAATCTCCCTCACTTCTGATCATAAATATACATTCGGTGCAGTTTAATGAGCCAATGTTTGGACAGACAAGGATGGTTGCCACATGCTCGCTTTCACCGTTGCGCTAAATTAGCACATACATAAGTTATTATTTTACAACACTTTCCTGATGCCTGACGTTCTCACTGCTTTGCATGTACATAAAATGTATGATCAAGAGGAATGTAACAAGGACGCTCAGCACATGTTTCTACGTACATGGTGAAACGTATTTGTAGCAGAAAGAAGAGCTAAGTGCACATAGTCTTGCTCCAAGACCCATTAACAGTTTTTTTTTGGTTGTCAGCAGTGAACGTAACCTGTCCAAAGGAATAAGGGAAGCGTTTACACTCTTTCTGACTTCGCAGAAAGTTAATACTTAAAAGATAGCGCTGAAGAAACCGAACGGATTAGCAGAAGTTGCAGAGACTCTTACCTTAGGTGAGACGAAGATACCGGAGCCGATCATATTTCCCACAATGAGACAGACCCCATGGAGGAGGGAAATCTCCTGCTTCAGCCGCACACCGCTGCCCTGAGATGCTGAGTCTACCTCAGTAGTCATTGTAAGAGGTAAAAGGCTTTCAGCCTCAACTCAGATGAGGTAAAGGGAAAGTGAAAAAGAAGACCGACTAGTTCCTGGAAGCCCCAGAAACTGAGACAAGACGAGAGCACAGAAATAAATGGGAAAGAAGAGAAAAGGGGAGTGGAGAGGTGTCACTGGTAGGCGGAGACGTGTGGACGTTTTAAAACAGCCACCGTTGAATCCGAGGAGTAGTTCTTCATTGGGATAATCTGCAAGAAACACAAAAAATAACTTACGCGTCTCAGTTGTCAGAGGTGTCAAGTAACAAAGTAAAAATACTTCGTTACTGTACTTAAGTAGAAATTTTGGGTATCTATACTTTACTGGAGTATTTATTTTTCAGATGACTTTTTACATTTTCACACAAATATCTGTACTTTCTACTCCTTACATTTTAAAAACAGCCTCGTTACTTCCGGCTTGTCGTAGTTCAAAAACACAAACACAAAAAGAACCCATCTAGATAAATGGCGCTATCCGGACAGTGAATTTAGCATCCAGACACCCGATTGGTTTTCTCCGTGATGCGCCGGCAGATCGGAGCGACACTGGGTGGGAAAAGTGGTCGCAGGAAAGTTGGTATTTATCGACATGGAGCCTCCTCCTCTTCCTCCTCCTCTTCCTCACATGTGACGTTAGATGAGCATCTTCATGACCGTGGCTTTGTCCTAAATGTTTTATTGAGAGTCTGGCACAATACAGCGACTTGCAAGCAGCGCAGCATATTAAATAAAGTGATGTGTGTCTTAATGCGGCTTTAGAAATGAACGCACGGGGATTCTGTATTTGCTCATGAAGCCTGAAAATACGGGTTATTTGGCCAACGTTTTGATAACCGACCGCTGCCAGTTCAGTGTCTCCCATCATTATAAACAGGGGTGCGCCCCCCCCGTGACGTAGTAAACCTGGGGGAGACACTGCAGTCTACCTAATCAATGCGAGCAACGTGTGTGTGTGTGTGACTCGTGTCACTGGAAAATGGGTTGTGGTTTTATCTGTTTAAGTTAATTAGATACATCTGCTGTTGTTGTGTCTCTGAATATCACCATGTTTCCACCATCCCAACGGCAGGTCACGTGATCTGCAGGCACATTGATCACATTCTAACGGACTGAAGTGTTGTGTGAGCGAGGTTACGCATTAAGAGTTTGTCCGTAAAGGAATTTCTTACATTACTTTTACTTTTATACTTCAAGTAGTTTTGAAACCAGTACTTTTATACTTTTACTTAAGTAAAAAGCTTGAGTCGATACTTCAACAGGAGTCTTTTTAAACCCTAGTATCTGAACTTCTACTTGAGTAATGAATGTGAATACTTTTGACACCTCTGTCAGTTGTTTAGTTCTGCACAGAGGAGGGTGAGACGGAGAAAGTCAGCCTGACACTTTAAAAATGAAAAAATGCGTACACACCAGACTGATAACCCAGAGCAAGATAAGGAAATACTTGTGCTGAGACTTAACAGGTCAGATTCATACACATTGCGGGTCCATGTCCATGTCACACACCCAACTGAGAACAGCTTGTGCCATTCTGAAAAAGGAACCTGGCACCGACCACTTTTTGTATAGTGAACTTGACCAAACCATGTTTGTAACATCAAACAGGCAGGAGCTATTTTACATACAAACAAATACATGACTTTAAAGTAAATAGACTTGATTGCAGTTTCACGGCTGCGAAGATCTGAATGCCTTTCCTTGTTTAATAATCGCCCGATAACGAACGAAATAATCACAGTAATGATTAATCTATGAGGGACAAGGCCATGTATCCTAGTCTAATGAAATTATAATAATTCAATCAGGAATGATACATTATAGGAGCTGGTCTGCATTTTGGCTATTGCAGTTAAGTGAGTTAGTTCAAAGTCCAAAAACGTTTTTCTTTTAAAACACCCCTATGGAGCAAACGATAATCTCCACCTTCACAGCCTAATTTCCTATTCATTTACCCCCTGCCGATAAGGTTAATACGTGAAGAAGCTTATTATACAGGAATCGGCTTCCCCTCGTGTGTCAAACACAAGCTGACAGCTGAACACAGGATGGAGAGCGGAGTCGTGAACTCGGACTACTTTAGATGTAACACATCACCACTTAACACACACGTGTGCTCAACTCACACCCAAACATCTGCTCTTACGAGCCGTGAAACACACAAAAACATCCGTTTTCCCGGTGACAACTGGCCGCACTGACCTGACACAAACCCAAACGAGGCGTTAATTAATTCCGCGTTTCACTAAGTTAACCCGGTATCCGCGGCACGCATCTTAAACCCGGCTGTGACGCGTAAGCTAACGAAGCTAGCGGCGTTACCCGTAGACACTCGGCTGCCGCTGATGCTAACCGTGGTAAGTGACGTACGTTAGCTAACGTCATCCGATGGTTAACGTCAGTGTGACGTGCCTTTACTGTCTCGGTCCAGGGTTTAAAGACAAAAAAGAGAGAGGTGAGCATCTAACCTTTGCGGTGCGGTCCTTTTTATTCTCCTCCAGCAGCAGTTCACGCGCCTCCCGACGGCTCAGCGTGAACAACTTTAGTTCGGAAGTCCACATCTGCAGTTGGCTCCACCTCATCGTCATCATCATCATCATCATCGCCCCCACCCACTGAGTGACGGGGGCCTAAAACCAAAGGCCCTCCCTAAACCCTCGGTAAATGTTGAATATGATGAGCAATATGAACATTTTGCTCCCACGTGTCAACTCAACATGACAAAATGAAAATAAAAACATAAACAAAAGTTTAAAAATAATTTAATTGAGGGTATTTATTTTATACATTTTGGAATGAATGAATTACGGAAAGGGTTCAAAAAGAGCACAAACTGTGTGCCCAAGAGCCTCCGAGACCCAACGATTTGATAATGGGACAGATCCTAAAGCTCTGTTCTGGTTAATTAGTGACCGTTTATATACTCGTCTTGACTTTTGCTTATCATACTAAATAAACAAATGGTCCGGCTTGACTGCTGCTATCTTCACAAACACACGACATGTGTAGTCGGTGCGTGAAGGTGCTGGTAGCCTGTTCTAAGTTCAACGCACAAATTCATCTGTCATCCAACATGCCCATAACATGGCGTTTTGAAGTGTGGATTGAAATGGTTGAATGCACTTATTGGAAGTCGCAAAGCGTCAGCTAAATGACATGTAATGCAATGTAATATGCTGCCACCTAGTGAATGTTTTTTTTAACGATCCCACCCACTTATTTGGCAGGTTATGATTGACCATCAGTATTCCCTGCGTTACATAGAGCGAATCACTGTATGCTTTTGACCTTTTGACTGTAGGCATTCATCATCAGAGGATGCATTATCCTGTATGTATTATTTAATGTGAAATATGAAAACTGCAACTCTCGTTCACCCGGGCCCTCCTAGTAATAACATGCACGTTTAGGCTAATACAACTTCCAATCCAAATTGTGTAACATTTTATCTAAAAAAAAAAGAAATCAAAACCGTAATGTTGTCTTGTGAGGATTCATTGTTCCTGCCACAGAGACTTTGACTATCATCTGCTCTTCAGCCCTGAAACAAAGAGGGAAACACCCACCCTGCAGAGGACCTGAGCGCTCCATTAGGGGACTTAGGGCTTGTCAGGCCTGTAAAATGAGGCTCGTCAATGATCGCTCGAGCAAGCACATGAACGCTCATTAGGGACCCGGTAGAAAAGCCGCTAGATTGTGACATGTTCGGGTTTCCTGTTACACATTTCGCAATAAAGCATTTTCAAATCTAAAATGTAGATATGGGTAAAGGTTGCATCCGGATCAAGATATGATTTATAGAGCATTGACTGTTTACCAAAACGAAATCTTTCTCAGTATGAGAAAACAACATTTCTCACTAAAGTCTCACTAAAGCGTTTCCCTTCTCCCTCATGTGCAAGTTACAAAAAAACCATCTAGGCTACCCATCATCTTCACAGCACGAGATGAGGTAGGTACGGAGGTTTTCAATCTAGAGAGTTTAGACTCTAAACTCTTGTGAAGATAACGTGAACGTTTGCTAGCGTTAGACGCCAACGTCACGTGACTTAACATGTGACGCATTCGGTCCACACGTCTCCAAAGCTGGATGGAAAAACAGGTGGCCCATAGAATGTTATGACGTCACACAAAGATGAAAGGGAACGCGTCATGGCCTACGTCAGAGAGTTCTTAATGCTCCAGAATGTATCTTGAGTGCATTCGTGTTCGGAGAAGCAAGAGAGCGGACGTGTGTGGAGACTTCCAAGCGACATGGCAGAATCACAGGGCGGTGGAAGGACGCTTCCATGGAAGTTAACTGAGCCGTTTGTTGTACCAAAAGAAAAGCGGATATCTCAAACCGAAGCCCGTTACACCCAAAGGAAACTCAATGAAGCAAAGGGTACGATATTACAACTTAAAATCAAGTCGGAGGCACAAAGGGAAGTGATTGTTGTGAGCCAGAGGAAGATGGATTATCTGCATTCGGAAATATCTTCACTCATGGAGAATGAAGACATTTCAAAAGAACATCTAAAAGAAGCAGAGAGGAAACTTGCAGAGAAATCGAATATGAATGATGATCTTCATCGACAGAACGCTAAAATTGAAGAGCTCTCTAGAATTAATGCTGCCCTTAAGCAGAGTGAAGAGGAAGCTCACCAAAGAAATCATGAGAATTTGACCCAACTTAAAGACTTGAATGAGAAACTAGACAGAAAGACCAAATATCATTCGTCTTTTGTTCTGCAATCCGAGAAAAGAGAGGACGCTTTGATCAATGAAAATAAGGTTCTTGGTGATAAACAGGCCTGCGTGACATCTGAGAATGATCTAGATCAGGCAAAGATTTCTGATCTGGAGGTAGTTGTTGAAGCGCTAGTTGAGGAAAACCGAACTATGAAGAACCAGAGCCTGATCGCTGAGAGGGAACACACCAAAGCCACTGAGCATCTTTCTACAACAAATAATGAAGCAACGGGTAAGATATCACAACTTAAAATCAAGTCGGAGACACAAAGTGAATTGATTGTTGTGAGCCAGAGGGAAATTGATCATCTGCAATCGGAAATATCTTCACTCAGGGAGAATGAAGACATTTCAAAAGAACATCTAAAAGAAGCAGAGAGGAAACTTGCAGAGAAATCGAATATGAATGATGATCTTCATCGACAGAACGCTAAAATTGAAACAGACTTTGAAGAGCTCTCTAGAATTAGCGCTGCCCTTAAGCAGAGTGAAGAGGAAGCTCACCAAAGAAATGACGAGAATTTGGCCCAACTTAAAGACTTGAATGAGAAACTAGACAGAAAGACCAAATATCATTCGGCTTTTGCTCTACAATCCGAGAAAAGAGAGGACGCTTTGATCAATGAAAATAAGGTTCTTGGTGATAAACTGACCTGCGTGACATCTGAGAATGATCTAGATCAGGCAAAGATTTCTAATCTGGAGGTAGTTGTTGAAGCGCTAGTTGAGGAAAACCGAACTATGAAGAACCAGAGCCTGATCGCTGAGAGGGAACACACCAAAGCCACTGAGCATCTTTCTACAACAAATAATGAAGCAACGGGTAAGATATCACAACTTAAAATCAAGTCGGAGACACAAAGTGAATTGTTTGTTGTGAGCCAGAGGGAAATTGATCATCTGCAATCGGAAATATCTTCACTCAGGGAGAATGAAGACATTTCAAAAGAACATCTAAAAGAAGCAGAGAGGAAACTTGCAGAGAAATCAAATATGAATGATGATCTTCATCGACAGAACGCTAAAATTGAAACAGACTTTGAAGAGCTCTGGAGAATTAATGCTGCCCATAAGCAGAGTGAAGAGGAAGCTCACCAAAGAAATCATGAGAATTTGGCCCAACTTAAAGACTTGAATGAGAAACTAGACAGAAAGACCAAATATCATTCGGATTTTGTTCTGGAATGCGAGAAAAGAGAGGACGCTTTGATCAATAAAAATAAGGTTCTTGGTGATAAACTGGCCTGCGTGAGATCTGAGAAAGTTCTAAATCAGGCAAAGATTTCTAATCTGGAGGCAGATGTTAAAGAGCTAGTTGAGGAAAACCGAACTATGAAGAACCAGAGCCTGATCGCTGAGAGGGAACACACCAAAGTCACTGAACATCTTGATGACCTTCAGAAGAAAGTTGAAACATGTTACAGAACAATCTCGGAGAAAGATGAAGAAATGCAACTACTTAAACAGACCAATGACCGATATCTGTCAGAGATCCAACAATTCAGACCGCAGGAGATGCAGGTAGTTGGCAACAACAATTTAAGAGAGGAATTCAGAATTTATGCTCAAAACACAGAATCATCTGAGAATCACAGTGACGAGAGCCTCCCAGTGACGGATCAGACAGAGGAGACACCTGAAGATGAGAAGGTGGAGACATCTGAGGAGATGAGACAGGAGACACATGAGGTTCAGACAGAGGAGATGAGACAGGAGACACATGAGGTTCAAACAGACGAGACCCCTGAGAATCAGACAGAGGAGACACCTATGGATGAGACGCAGGAGACACCGATTCAGGCCAGAAGTTGGTGGTCTGGCCTTGCTAAAGGTGTGGTGTACGTAGGATGTAATATAGCTATCAGCATCGCGACATCGCTGCTTCATGGACAATTGTTCCCTAACAGCTGCAGTTCAGACTTAAATTACAGCCAGTCAAACTGTTTGAATGATTTCCAATGCTTCACGCCTCGTCCCTTCTAATCAGGTAAAAATACTTACACCAAATGATGAATGATGACCTGACAATGTGAACTGTGATGGTTCGTGTTAAGTGTGAGGTAAAGAGAATGCATTTATCATTGTATATATAATTGTATGTATGTACGTGTGAATGTGAGTGTGAATGGTGACCTGACAATGTGAACTGTGATGGTTCATGTTAAGTGTGAGGTAAAGAGAATGCATTTATATTTGTATATATAATTGTATGTATGTACGTGTGAATGTGAGTGTGAATGGTGACCTGACAATGTGAACTGTGATGGTTCATGTTAAGTGTGAGGTAAAGAGAATGCATTTATATTTGTATATATAATTGTATGTATGTACGTGTGAATGTGAGTGTGAATGGTGACCTGACAATGTGAACTGTGATGGTTCATGTTAAGTGTGAGGTAAAGAGAATGCATTTATATTTGTATATATAATTGTATGTATGTACGTGTGAATGTGAGTGTGAATGGTGACATATCGCCCAGTGTGAACTGTGATAGTTTATCATCAAACCTTTGTAGGTTTTTGCATGTACCGGTGTTATGGTCCGGCTCAAAGGCCACAACAAATAGAGGAAACCACGCTCCAGGGATTACCAGCCAAGGATCTTTATTCACCAAAGTAACTGGTTAAACAAACAAACAAAACACAGCAAAGGAAAAACGCCATTGTGCTGGGGAACAGGAGAAAACCAGCAGTCACCCCCAAACACTCAGAAAGGGGCAGGTTTTAATGCACTCAAGAGACAGTGGCCAGCAGCGTCTGATCTGCCTGATGGCCTCAGCTCCACTCCACCAGGAAGTTCACCCTGTAACACACACAGACAGAGACACAGCCACAAATACCCTGGCAGTGGCCCTTGGGCCGCCACACTGGTATATTAGTATTTTATAGAATACATTTTACACACGTATCTTGTTTAACTGGCGGCACGGTGGCGTGGTGGTTAGCACTGTTGCCTCACAGCAAGAAGGTCCTGGGTTTGATTCCGCACAGTGGCCTTTCTGTGTGGAGTCTGCATGTTCTCCCCGTGTCTACGTGGGGCTTCCTCCCACAGTCCAAAGACATGCTCTGGGGATCAGGTCAATTGGGGACTTTAAATTGTCTGTAGATGTGTGGATGTGAGTGTGAATGGTTGTATGTCTCTGTGTTAGCCCTGCGATTGGCTGGCGACCAATCCAGGATGTACCCTGTCTATCGGCCGAAGTTGGCTGGGATGGACTCCAGCCCCCCCGCGACCTAATGATTGATATTGATAATAATTGATCAATGAAAATAAGGTTCTTGGTGATAAACTGGCCTGCGTGACATCTGAGAAAGATCTAAATCAGGCAAAGATTTATAATCTGGAAGCAGTTGAAGCGCTAGTTGAGGAAAACCGAACTATGAAGAACCAGAGCCTGATCGCTGAGAGGGAACACACCAAAGTCACTGAACATCTTGATGACCTTCAGAGTCAAGTTGAAACATGTAACAGAACAATCTCTGAGAAAAATTTGCAAATGCAACTACTTAAACAGACCAATGACCAATATCTGTCAGAGATCCAACAATTCAGAACGGAGGAGACACCTATGGATGAGACCGGTTCAGGCCAGAAGTTGGTCTGGCCTTGCTAAAGGTCTGGTCAATGTAGGATGTTATGCTGCCATCGGCATCGCCACGGCAGTGCTTACTAACAGCTGGAGTTCAGACTTGAATTGCGGCCAGTCAAACCGTTTCAATGATTTCCAATACACCGCACCTCGTCCCTTCTAATCAGGTACAAAGACTTACACCAAATATGACTATATTTGAATATGGCTATTAGTTGTATTCAAAAGACACATCCAATCAACCGCAACTCAACAGATGAACAGAATAAGACATCCCCTTCGAGCGAGGGGTAAATATTCATCTTCATGATCAAACCAATGTAGGTTTTTGCATGTATGTGTGGTTGTTTGCCTCCGTATGGACCTATGTCTGTATGTGAGTGTGAATGATGACCTGACAATGTGAACTGTGATGGTTCATGTTAAGTGTGAGGTAAAGAGAATGCATTTATATTTGTATATATAATTGTATGTATGTACCTGTGAATGTGAGTGTGAATGGTGACATATCGCCCAGTGTGAACTGTGATAGTTTATCATCAAACCTTTGTAGGTTTTTGCATGTACCGGTGTTATGGTCCGGCTCAAAGGCCACAACAAATAGAGGAAACCACGCTCCAGGGATTACCAGCCAAGGATCTTTATTCACCAAAGTAACTGGTTAAACAAACAAAAAAAACACAGCAAAGGAAAAACGCCATTGTGCTGGGGAACAGGAGAAAACCAGCAGTCACCCCCAAACACTCAGAAAGGGGCAGGTTTTAATGCACTCAAGAGACAGTGGCCCGCTGCGTCTGATCTGCCTGATGGCCTCAGCTCCACTCCACCAGGAAGTTCACCCTGTAACACACACAGACAGAGACACAGCCACAAATACCCTGGCAGTGGCCCTTGGGCCGCCACACCGGTATATTAGTATTTTATAGAATACATTTTACACACGTACCTTGTTTAACTGCAAGTTGGGTTTCCAAATATTATCCCACAATCAACCAAGTGTTTGGTTGATGTCTTCCACGTACTACACAATAGTTTTCATTTTAGCCCAAATAGTTTTACTCTGTATATGAAATGTATGTTCAGTCATGAAAAACCCTCAAATGATGTTCACTCATGATTTATCAGTTTAAGAGATCCATCATTTTTATTGCAGGACTTTTTGTAGATTGACAATTAATTTGTCAGATAGACAAATATATATTTCAAAACATTTGCAAGATATGTTCCCTAAATCTGCAACAAAGATTTGGGGGATGACAAAAAATTATATACATTTAATGACTGGTTATTACATTACATATCATTTAGCTGATGAAAATCAGGAATCAGGAAACATTTATTGCCAAAATATGTCATAAATATAAGGAATTTGACTTGGCGGTTGGTGCGTGACAGTAGACAGTATAACAATAGACAACAAGACAGCAGTGCACGAGTAATAAAGTAAAATAACATGCTAATGCTATGGGTTAGTTTAAAAAAGACAAAGTTTAATAAAAAAAATAAAAAAAATAAAGTGCACTAGCGAACAAGTGACAAAAGACTTTTCTCTCAAATGCAGCATTTATGTTCCGTTCTTATAGAAGGCTTCAACGCCTTTTTAAATCTTAATTGCTCCAAATATTTACTTTAAGACGTCTCCCCCTTGTGGGTTCTTATATGACGCTTCAACACTGCTGTCCAAGTGAATGTTTTCCCTCAGGTGACGCAAGAGTATGGCTTCTCCCGACTATGAATTCTTAAATGATACTTCAAATGTGATGGCTGAGAGAATGTTTTCCCACAGGTGCTACAAGAATATGGCTTCTCCCCACTGTGGATTCTAATATGACGCTTCAACACTGATGTCCGAGCGAATGTTTTTCCGCAGGTGATGCAGGAATATGGCTTCTCCCCACTATGAATTCTTAAATGATACTTCAAATGTGACGGGTGAAAGAATGTTTTCCCACAGGTGCTACAAGAATGTGGCCTTTCCCCTGTGTGGATTGATATATGACGCTTCAATACTGATGGATGAGTGAATGTCTTCCCACAAGTGTTGCAAGAATACGGCCTTTCCCCTGTGTGGATTGATGTATGACACTTCAATTGTGATCTCTGAGTGAATGTTTTCCCGCACGTGATGCAAGAATATGGCTTCTCCCCACTATGAATACTTAAATGATACTTCAAATGTGATGGCTGAGAGAATGTTTTCCCACAGGTGCTACAAGAATATGGCTTCTCCCCACTGTGGATTCTAATATGACACTTCAACACTGATGTCCGAGCGAATGTTTTTCCGCAGGTGATGCAGGAATACGGCCTTTCCCCTGTGTGGATTGATGTATGACACTTCAATTGTGATCTCTGAGTGAATGTTTTCCCACAGGTGCTACAAGAATGTGGCCTTTCCCCTGTGTGTATTGGTATATGACGCTTCAATACTGATGGGTGAGTGAATGTTTTCCCACAGGTGCTACAAGAATATGGCTTCTCCCCACTGTGGATTCTAATATGACGCTTCAACGCTGATGTCCGAGTGAATGTTTTTCCGCAGGTGATGCAGGAATATGGCTTCTCCCCACTATGAATTCTTATATGAGCCTTTAAATGTGATGACCGAGAGAATGTTTTCCCACAGGTGCTACAAGAATGTGGCCTTTCCCCTGTGTGTATTGGTATATGACGCTTCAATACTGATGGGTGAGTGAATGTTTTCCCACAAGTGTTGCAAGAATACGGCCTTTCCCCTGTGTGGATTAATGTATGACACTTCAATTGTGATTTCTGAGTGAATGTTTTCCCGCACGTGATGCAGGAAAATGGCTTCTCCTCACTATGAATGCTTATATGAGCCTTTAAATGTGATGACCGAGAGAATGTTTTCCCACAGGTGATGCAGGAATACGGCCTTTCCCCAGTGTGAACAATCATGTGGGCTTTTAAATCACTATTATATCTGAATTCTTTTCCACATGGTTCACAAGAAAAGGGTTTCTTATCACTATGGACTCTTTTATGGGCCTTGAATACTGATTCATGAGGGAATCTTTTCCCACAGGTGTTGCATACATATGGTTGATCAACTCTGTGGGTTCTTCTCATGTGGCCCAACAAGCTATTTCTATGTTGAAAGTATTTCCCACAATCTCTGCACAAAAATGGCTTCTCACTCGGAGGAGCTGGTTCCTTGTTTGATGTTAAACTAAGTTTTACTCCTTTCTGATCTTGGCCATCAGATTCATGAGGATTGTGAGAGAGAAGCTGGTGGTCATTGTTTAGTTCAACTACAGCGGTGCTTTCAACTGAAATGTATTCTAGAGATGTTTCCTGTACCACACTCTCAGTTTCATCAGTACACGAGTCCAGAAGTGGATCTTCACCGTGGCCTCTTTCCTCACAAGTAGGAGTCAACGTAAAGGCCTCCTGCTTCGGTTCAAGCTGCTCTCCCTCTGGACTGGTGCAGAGTTCCTCCTGTTCCTCTTTAATCTCTGGAGGATCTGGGTCCTCTTGGTCCAGACTGGGCTTCCTCTCCTGGAGACAGAGCTGCTGGTCAGAGAGAAGCTCCTCCTCCTTACAGACACGTGACTGTGGGAGCTCTGGAGGGACAAAAGGAATAGAAGATAAACGGTTGAGCGTATAAATACAACGAGTGTTTATAAACCATAAACATCACGTGTCCTACTGTTCTATTAGTAAGTTAAAGAACACTTTGGTTTGAAAAAACGTGAATAATGTCTCATCTTTATTGCTTTAGACCAGCGATTCCCAAAGTGTGGGCCGCGGCGCCCTGGTGGGCCACCAAGGTACTGCAGGTGGGCCGCGAGAGGTCATTTACAATAAATAAATAAAAAAGGTTTTAATTTTCAATTTTGAAAAGTTTGAAATGAATATAAAAATATGTATGATGCGGCACATTAGTTATGTGAAAAATTAATTGATGAAGCACAAACAATTTAAACGAACAGATTGGTTAATGGTTGATCCATACTGGTTGTACACGGCGCGCAAGGCGCTCTGCCAAACATGCTAAAGCTGGTCTGACGGCGAGACGCTGAGCGGCGCTCAAGCGCGTGAGATATGGAGCTTGTTTCAGGGCGCGTCGGAGAAACAAAGCTGTCGTTCTTGACGAGCACATAATGAGATTAAAGAGCGAGAGACGGTGCCCTTTTCATTACAGTAGCTGAACCATCTTAACGGGGAAATAAGGTATTCTAAAAGGAGCCCTTGGTAGGCGGCGTGGCTGGAGAGCAGCCGGAGATTTAAGTCGTGGATGGCGAGGGGGGCGGCGGGAGCGGACGCATCTCGCAGTATCGATCGGACCCTGAAAACACAGTCTCCACCTCCCCACATCCCCCCCATCGCCAAACGTTTGACTGCTACGCCGGCAAATCACCAGCCGGTCTGCGAGCCGGACGCATTGGTCTTAATGTGCCGGTAATGATGGTAAATGATGGTTGTAGCTGGTTGTCATCTTCCAGTCCACTACGGTTACATAAAGGTGTCGTTTGTGTTTTGACAACGTTGTATCTCATAATTTCGACTTTATATCCCCTTTCTTCAGTGCGGAAATGGGCTTCTATAGTTGTGTGAATGCGTCGCTCCGGCCAATCCAAAGACGGGGTTTGTAACTAATCAGGTGTACAGACCATGTGACTGGCTCCGCCCCCTCACTGTCAGAACGAACACCGAGCGCGTAGAAAACTCCTTCGAGCGCGAGCAGAGATTCTCCTCCCTCGAGCAACGAAGTTCACGTCTCGCAAGCGAGCAAATACTAGTGATGGCAAAGTGAAGCTTTCCAGCCAATTGTATCGGGAAAATGGTTCATGCATTCAATGCATCGCAAACTCTATGATGACCTCTGCTGTTGAAAACCCATAGTGCATGTTTCGCATAGCCTACCAGTATATTTTGGCCCAGTCTCTGTGGGTTGAACATGATTATGAAAAGTTGAACCAATAAATCATCTAATAAATACATGGATTCCTATATGAATAAAACTATTGTTTTTCAGGTTTGAATTGTGTCCTTGTTTGTGTATTTCAATTCTCTGTACATTGGCAAGAAGTGGAACAAACATACTAGGAGAATAATGAATAGAAATATATATATATATATGTAGGTAATATAATTTAAAACACCAGCAAGTGCTTCCTACTGCATGTGCAGTTCATGGCAGTCATAGGGACTTAGGTGAATTGTTTGAATGTGGAATGTGGGAAGTGATTTATAGAGGAAAGGTCAGTTTTTAAGGGGCAGTGATTGTGCTTTTGGACAGGTTTTTTATGACAGGATATTGAGGTGCTTGTGGACACATGGGATGGGGCATTGTTATTGATTTTTTATTGAGAAACTATTTTCTTCACAGTATTGGGGTGGAGTCGGTTTCTTAGATACCGTTTCCCCAGCTTTAGAAAAAAGGCGCTCACGCGGCACGATGAGGCAGGAATGCTCATAAGATTACGTGCTAATACAAATAGATGTGGGTACACATGTTTGTGTTTGACCCAATATTTTAGCGGGTCTTTACTCCGTGGAATGTTTGGCTCAGCCAAATATCGGGTGGTCTCCACAATAAAAATAAACATCCATAATTACACAGTATAAATGACAGACTTTGCCTGCCTATTGCTAACCGTGTTAGAGGGAATCAAATTGAAGTGCTCCCACATCTCGGAGCGACCTCTCTTTGCCACAGGTTCCATTGTAAATTTGCTCTTTGCTACGACTACTACAACAACACTGACTCTATCAAACCGACAAGCCCGAACCCTGTTTCCAGCCCATTGAATCAAATCGAAGCGGTCACGTGACTGTGCGCCGGAACGAAGCTTCGGACGTCACTGATCACGTGATCCGCAGCGAACGAACCGAGCACCGATACGTTCGCCTTGCACTGGTTCATATTTCGACACAAGCGTCGAAGCAGGAGGGTCGGAGGGAACAAGACTAGCAAATACCTCGCACGAGACGGACTTTTGCTGGCGGATGTTTGATTTACGCGCGCGCATCAACCTGATTTGCGCTCTCGAATTTTGACAGTATCTGATAGACTGCAGTATCTTATGCACCTTATTGTGCGGAAAACACGGCCCATGAGCTCCGGAGAAAATGGTATACAAAACATACATTGTCGGTTAATACATTTTGAATCAAAATTAAATTCATATGGTCATTTAATCATCCCTAGTTTATGTTTCGATCAGAGTTGTGATTAAAGGTTTCGGTGGGCCGCAAAAGATTTTCAGATATTAAAGTGGCCCGCGGAATTCTTGAGTTTAGGAACAGCTGCTTTAGACAAATGAGTTTTTTTAACAAAGTTGTACTCACCTATCCTGTGTAACCTCACTTCGGGTTTCCAAAACACATCCAACAGTCTGCGCTGTCGGTCGATCTCTTCCTGGTACTCGACGACGGTTCTTTTAAAAACTCCGAATATTTCTTCAGCAGCAGCAGATAGTCGCTCGTTGACAAACTCTCTCAAATTCTCAACTGAAGACATTGTTGCTTAATTACAAGCCGTAGTTAGTTAAATGAATTATCTGCACTGCCACAAGACAAAGCAACGGCTGGGTGTCACACTTTAAAGTTCCGACTGCAGACCTCAGTCACATTAAGGTTCCGCTTCTTACTATGGTCGCCGGTCAGGTCCCTTTTTCTTCCTCTGTTAATTGGATTAGCGGGTCGCAAACAACTTGAATAGATGCATACCGCCACCTACTGTACAGGAGTGTGGACTTTGAGTGTTAAATCAACATTGTTAGCTGGTAATTGTTGTGTTCTTCCAAGGAGAACGATTTCCCCACATTGCATTGGGACCACACTGCTTCCTTTCGGCGATCTTATCAGGAAACACCGCATAAACTTCCATTGTTATGCAGACGATACTCAACTGTATCTGTCGATCAAGCCAGAAGAGACGGACCAGTTAGTTAGACTCCAAGAATGTCTTGGAGACATCAAAACTTGGATGACCGGCAACTTCCTGATGCTAAACTCAGAAAAAACGGAAGTTATCCTGATAGGCCCAGAGCGCCTTCGAAGCCAGCTGTCGCGTGATACAGTTTTTATGGATGGAATTGCTCTGGTACCCAGCAGCACCGTCAGGAATCTGGGAGTTCTCTTCAACCAGGATATGACCTTCAACTCGCATATAAAGAAGACTTCAAGGACTGCCTATTTCCATCTACGTAACATATCAAAAATCAGGAACTTCCTGTCTCAAAGTGATGCAGAAAAATTAGTTCATGCGTTTGTCACTTCCAGACTGGACTACTGTAATTCTTTGTTATCAGGCTGCTCTTGTAAATCTCTTAAGCCTCTCCAGCTGATTCAGAATGCTGCAGCACGTGTATTAACAAGAACTAAGAAAAGGGATCATATCACTCCTGTATTAACTTCTCTGCACTGGCTCCCTGTTAAATCAAGAATAGATTTTAAGGTACTTCTCCTCACCTACAAGGCACTTGCTGGTGAGGCACCGTTGTATCTTCAAGAGCTTGTAACACCGTATTGCCCTACAAGGCAACTGCGCTCCATAGATGCTGGGTTACTTGTTGTTCCTAGGGTTTTAAAAAGTAGGCTGGGGGCCAGAGCCTTCAGTTATCAAGCTCCTCTTTTGTGGAACCAGGTTCCACTTTCAGTCCGGGGGGCAGATTCGGTTAGCTCTTTTAAAGTAAAACTTAAAACGTTCCTCTTTGATTCTGCCTATAGTTAGGGCTGGCTCAGGTTAGTCCGGACCAGCCCTTAGTTAAGCTGCTATAGGCTTAGAATGCCGGGGGAATTCTTAGGACACACCGAGCTCCTCTCTCACGCTCTCTTTCTACCATAATTCAAGTTTTATTAATGCACATGACTAATTCAGCTTCTTTCCGGGAGTTTTTTTTGTGCTTTCGCCCCTATCAGGTCTCCATAGATCGTGGTTCCTTCGGGACCCTGGTCCTGACACCTACCATGGCCATGCTGACGCCTGCTGCTGCCATCATCATCATCATCATTATTTTAGATATTAATCATATTACTTTACTCATAAACCGACATTACCCTCTCCTAAAATCTCTGTGCTCTCCCTCCCCACAGGATTCTGTGGATGGTGGTTCTATCTGATGGTGGTTGCCTCTGCAGTGGTCCTGCTGTGCGCCTGGCTTACTACTCACAATTACTTGAATCATTTCTGTAATAGGAATTGCATGTATTATACATTGTTCATTCTGTACACATGGCATCCATTGTAGTCTGTCCATCCCGGGAGTGGGATCCCTCCTCTGACGTTCTCCCTAGGGTTTCTTCCCTTTTTTCCCTCTTGTAAGGGTTTTTTCATTTTTTGGGGAGTTTTTCCTGTGCCGATGGTGGGTTTCGGGGTAGAGGATGATGTATGTGTACAGACTGTAAAGCCCTCTGAGGCAAATTTGTAATTTGCGATTCTGGGCTATACAAAATAAAATGACTTGACTTGACTGTAACGCCTTTAAACCGCATTCTTTGGCTGCTGTACTGATAGTCCAACCAAACCCTTTGCCTTTACTTTGGATGTACTCCCAGCATTCATACAGCACCTTTGTTGCTGGAAGTTCCTCTCCAGAACTCTGCAGCTTCACCCAACATGCCAGAGCTCAGGCAGGACGAAATCATGAGCGAACATCACTTGAAGCTTTATCAGTTTTATTGCAGGACATTTTCTCAGATTGACGTTAATGATGCGTGTATATATATATATATATATACACACATATATATACACACACACACACACACACACATATACATTATATATATATAATGTATATGTTGAGGCAGATATGAAGTTCCGACTTGAAATCCGTCGACTTGAAATCGAGGCGGAAACGCAGATTAAGCTGCGGGCATTGGAAATAAGGGCAGCGGACAGAACACCGGTTCCGGGTACACAACCGTCGCAGTCTGCCGATGCTGGCTCGGCGGGGACCACCTTTGAGGTCAGTAGGCACATCTCTCTCGTACCACAGTTCCGAGAAACAGAAGTGGACTCGTACTTCAACGTATTTGAGCGGATTGCATCTACACTTCAGTGGCCTAAAGAGGTCTGGTCGTTGTTGCTGCAGTGCAAGCTGACTGGTAAAGCTCAAGACGTTTGTGCTACGTTGTCCTTAGAGGATAGCGTGAATTATGAAGCGGTGAAAGCTGCCATATTGCGCGCTTATGAGCTGGTACCCGAGGCTTACAGACAACGGTTTAGGAGTCATAAAAAAAATCCCGGTCAGTCATTTGTTGAGTTCGCGAGGGAGAAAAGCGTTTTGTTTGATAAGTGGTGCACTTCCAGTAAGGTGAATGATCTTAAGGACATGCGAGAATTAATTCTTTTAGAGGAATTTAAGAATTGCGTACCTGAGCGTGTGGTTGTTTACATGAACGAACAGAAGGTGACGTCGGTATCCCAGGCTTCTGTCCTTGCAGATGAATTTACATTGACGCATAAGAATGTTTTTGTCCCTACACGTTCTGAGCGGGTTACGTCGTTTCAGGCAAGTTCAAGTAATTCACCGTATCCGAAAACGGCTGCGTTAAAGTCGAAAGAGGATCGTGAATGTTATTATTGTCACAAACCCGGTCATTTAATTGCAGAGTGTTTTGGGTTAAAACGAAAACAATCGAATTCTGTGCCTAAGAGTGCGGGGTTCGTTAAGCTAGTGGCTCCTGTTGATACCGATCGCAGTGATCAACCTGATTCCAGTTATGCCCCTTTTCTGTTGGAGGGGGCAGTTTCTGTTACAGGAAATTCGGCGGAGCAGATACGTGTGAAAATGCTCCGGGATACTGGGGCCATGCAATCGTTTATTTGTGCCGATGTATTGCCGTTCTCGGAGCAGACCTTTTGTGGTAGTCATGTCCTAGTGCAGGGCATAGAAATGGGTCTGGTTCAAGTCCCGTTGCACCAGATTCACCTCGAGTCGAAACTATGTACGGGTCTTGTGAAGGTCGCGGTGCGGGAGAGTCTGCCGGTGAGCGGGGTGCAGCTCATTCTTGGCAATGATTTAGCCGGCGGGAAAGTTATGCCTTTACTCGAGGTATTTAATAACCCGGTGGTATCGGATCAGCCTGATGAGCTGGCGAAGTCCTTTCCGGAAACTTTTCCGGTCTGTGTGGTCACGCGCGCTCAGTCCCGTAAGACGGAGGCTGAAGATTTAGCTACGTCTTTTATTTCACCTATTTTTCTCAGCGACATGTTACCTGATGCGAGTGATAAGGCTGTTGAAAAGGTGCCTGGATCAGACACTTCGGGTGTAAAGCTGAGTGTGACTCGGGAGAGGGTTATTGCTGCTCAGCATGAGGATAGGAGTCTGCAAAAGTGCATTGCTGCTGCGGTCTCCGCGGAGAAAGCACGGGAGAGGAAAACTGCTTACTTTATGGAGAATGGTTTACTAATGCGTAAGTGGTGCTCGGATGTGGCTGATGGGGCTGAATGGACCAGTGTGTATCAGATAGTGGTTCCGTCCTGTTACAGACAGCAAGTTCTCTCTTTGGCTCATGACCACGACCTATCGGGACACTTGGGAATTAAGAAAACTTACTACAGAGTTTTAAGACACTTCTTTTGGCCTCGGTTAAAGACTGATGTTACCCGATTTTGTCGTACCTGCCGCGTCTGCCAAATCACTGGCCAACCGAACCAGGTCATCCCGTGTGCCCCACTCGTTCCTATTCCAGCGGTAGGAGAACCGTTCGAACACGTCATTGTGGACTGCGTGGGGCCTTTGCCTAAATCTAAGGCTGGTAATCAGTTTCTGTTGACTATAATGTGTACTGCAACCAGATTTCCTGAGGCAATTCCTTTGAGAAAGATAACAGCACCTGTTGTAACTAGAGCACTGGTGAAATTCTTCTCTACGTTTGGATTACCAAAAGTTGTGCAATCAGATCAAGGCACTAATTTTCTTTCGAAAATTTTTACTCAAGTGTTGTCCAGCTTAAATATATCCCATAGGATCGCGAGCGCCTATCACGCGGAAAGCCAAGGGGCGCTAGAACGTTTTCATCAAACCTTGAAGTCAATGCTCAGAAAGTACTGCATGGAAACGAGTAAGGAGTGGGATGAGGGTGTGCCCTTGCTCCTCTTCGCGATCAGGGAGACAGTTCAAGAAAGTCTTGGATTTAGTCCTGCTGAGTTGGTGTTTGGACACACTGTCAGAGGACCTTTGAAAATGCTTAAAGAGGACTTGATGTCTTCTGGGGCTAGTCCATCACTGAATGTGTTGGACTATGTGAGCAAGTTCCGTGAACGGTTACATAAAGCTTGCTCGGTGGCGAAGGAGTCACTTGAAGTTGCGCAAAGGAAAATGAAACGTCTTTTTGACCGCAAATCTGTACAGCGTTCCTTTAACGAGGGCGATCAGGTGTTGGTGTTGCTGCCTATGGTAGGGTCGGCGTTATCAGCCCGGTTTTCTGGTCCGTACGAGGTGGTACGGAAACATAGCAATACAGATTACGTAATCGGGACACCCGATAGAAAACGAAAGACTCGTGTCTGTCATGTGAATATGTTGAAGACTTTTTATTGCAGAGAGGGTATCCAGTCCGATGTTTCGCCGACAGAGGAAACCGCTGTTTACCTGTCCTCCCCCGCTCCTGCCTCCGTGGCATGCGCTGCGGTGGAAATCTCTAACCCGGATGATGATGATGATGGAGTAATTGTTCGCCACACTTACCAGCAATGTGCTCGCCTCAAGAACTCTGAGGTACTGTCTGATCTGTCATCGTGTATATCTCACTTATCTGAAAAGCAAGGAAATGATGTTGTGCAACTAATTAATGACTTTCCTGCTTTACTGAATGATGTACCTTCTCGCACCACAGTATTAGAGCATGATATTAACGTGGGGGATGCTGTTCCGGTCAAGCAACATGCGTACCGCATGAACTCAGTGAAGAGAGAGCGTATGCGGGGAGAGGTTGAGTATTTGGTGGAGCATGGATTGGCTCAAGCCAGCTGCAGCCCCTGGAGCTCTCCATGCCTCCTGATACCGAAGAGTGACGGCACTGATCGGTTTTGTACGGACTATCGTAAGGTTAATGCGCTCACGGTACCGGATTGTTTTCCATTGCCGCGGATGGAGGACTGCATTGACAACATCGGCTCGGCCCGTTATGTCAGTAAATTGGATCTACTAAAAGGGTACTGGCAGGTGCCGCTTACGTCTCGCGCTTCTGACATCTCCGCTTTCGTGACACCGGATAGTTTCCTGCAATATTCTGTGATGGCGTTCGGCATGCGTAACGCACCGGCTACTTTCCAGCGACTCGTTAATCGTGTGTTGTCGGGGGTGCCTAAGTGTAACGCGTATCTGGATGATCTAGTAGTGTACTCGTCCGACTGGCCCGAACACATTGCTTTACTAAGAACGGTTTTCGAGCGATTACAAGAAGGTTCGTTGACCTTAAACTTGGCCAAATGTGAATTCGGTCAGGCTACAATCACGTACCTTGGAAAGGAGGTGGGTCACGGGCAAGTGCGGCCGATCGAAGCAAAAGTCACTGCGATATCTGAATTTCCTGCTCCCGCCACCCGTCGAGAACTTCGTCGTTTTCTAGGGATGGCTGGCTATTACCGCAGCTTCTGTAAAAACTTTTCGACGATTGCCCAGCCGTTGACGTCGCTCCTCAGTCCGTCGCGGACGTTTTTGTGGTCCACGGAATGTGAGCATGCGTTTAACGCGATCAAAGATCTTCTGTGTAACGCACCTGTTTTGGCCGCTCCAGATTTTGATTCTGCTTTTAAACTCGATGTGGACGCGAGTTACGTGGGTGCGGGAGCTGTGCTAATTCAGGGCGGTAAAGATGGTATTGACCATCCCGTCTGCTATTTCTCGCGCAAGTTTAATAAGCACCAGTTAAACTACTCGACGATCGAGAAGGAGGCATTAGCCTTGCTGATGGCCCTTCAGCATTTTGACGTGTATGTGGGATCGAGTATTAGTCCCGTTACCGTGTTTACTGATCACAATCCGTTAGTTTTCTTATCTCGTATGTATAATCAGAATCAGCGTTTGATGCGCTGGGCGCTGATTGTACAGGGATACAATTTGATAATCAAACATAAAAGAGGCGTAGAAAACGTGATCGCCGATGCCTTGTCTAGAGTTGCCTCTGGCGGCGTGTGAGTACGATCGTTTGAACAACTATATGCTGAGTAGTTTTTTTTTACATATAGTTGGTTCTTAAGGGGGGAGGTGTTACGTTCCCCGTGCACTGCAGGAGTGTTGTTTATTGTTTGATTACACTTTGATTGGTTTCCTGTGAATTGCCCCTCCTCTAGGTCGCTGTGACTGGCGGATCGGTCGTCAGTGGGGCGGAGGACGAGGGCCAATCAGGAGGCGGAGCCGCTGCTTAAGAGGGACGGCGGGCTCATTCTCTGAAACCCCTCTCAGTATTGCTGACGCTCAGGGCCGCCGATTGTGGGCTGCTCTCCGGCACCCAGATTGTTGTGCATTTCAGACTGTTTTGGATAAGTGTTTTCGTGTCATCAGCGGCATCAGCTGCAAAACCGCGCCGGGGGGGGAAGAACGGTAGGTTAGTATATCGCGATATACATCCTGCCCGTAGTTGTCCTGTGTATAGACACCC